CTGGTCCGATTTTCATCGTACACTCTGGCACACTACACGTATGTAATTCTGCAATGTACTATGATAAAAGTAGGGTTTAGTCAGTAATTAAATAAATTCATAGTGGTTGGAAAAAGTTTTACTGTATAGGTTTAGCAGAGCCAATGATGTACGTTCAGAAAACTTCGGCCTGAAAATTTATGGATTTAAAACCCCAGCCTGAAGAAAACCCTCCTTGAAAGATTGGAAAGTATAAATTTGAATAACTGGTGGGTCGTAAACCTCGTAATATACAAGAAAAACTGCATTTACTACTGAAATACAGTTTGGAGTGGTTCACTAAAACAAAAGAATGAGAAATTTGATAAATAGAAGCTAACAATGTAATATAGAGGACATAAAAGTCGTCGAAAGCACTAAAAAGCTAAAAAAGATGCTTTTTTTATGACCGTTTTTAAAATGTTGAAAGTTTTCTCAGCTTATAATTTGATCATCCCTAAGGCTAGGATGTTGCATGATGATCAAATTATATCCATATGGACACGTTTGAAATTTTTTATCAACGGTGAAGGTTTTCTCAGTTTTGTATGCGTGATATAATGTATCTTCACGGTTTACATTGTTTTCTAATGAAAACCGTCCTTGTTAGTCCGTAAATTCACGAAATTTAAGGTACCTTTGTTTGTCGCTGCTAATAGCTCCGGGAGGCGCGAACGAAAAGCTTAAATTGCCGTTCGGCCGTTCAACTGACGCACGTCGCATCATGCCGCAGTCGTGGGTTACCTCCGCTGGCTTCAATGGTGAGCAACTCGTCCTCGTGGCGAAGTTTGCTGAGCGAGCTGAACGCTATGAGGATATGGCAGCTGCCATGAAGCTGTTTACGGAGTTGCGAGGTAAAGATTGCAAAGACGAACTTGGCAATGAGGAGCGTAATTTGCTCTCTGTTGCCTACAAGAATGTTGTTGGTGCCAGACGATCCGCTTGGCGCATTATTTGTGGATTGAATAAACCCGAGCTCCCAGAGGAGAAGGCGAAATGCACCAAGGAGTACTGTTCTCGAATGGTTTCGGAATTGAACGAAATCTGCAAGGAGGTTTTGGTAAGTTCATCCGGGTACTTTTGTCAGTTTGTAGTATCTCTTGAAGGAGTATCTGACCCCGAACGCTCAGTCAAACGAGAGCAAGGTGTTCTATAAGAAGATGGAGGGTGATTACTACCGGTATTGTGCTGAGGTTGCCGACGCTGAGAACCGCGATACTATTGTTGCCAACTCCCTAGAGGCCTACCAGCAAGCTATGCAAATCGCCAATGAGCTTCATCCCACTCATCCTATCCGCTTGGGTCTGGCCCTGAACTTCTCGGTCTTCTATTATGAAATCAAGAATGAACCGCAAGAAGCCTGCAAACTGGCCCAACAGTCATTTGATGATGCCCTGGCGGAACTCGATTCATTGCATGAGGACTCATACAAAGACAGCACACTAATCATGCAGCTGCTCAGAGACAACCTGACGGTAAGTCGCGTAGTTATTCTCATCCTGCATTACAGTTGTGGACGACAGATCAACCGGATCCCGAGGAGGTCGATGCCGGCGACAACTGATATCAACTTATGTACTTATTTCACCTTATCGATATATTGTCGAACACCCGTTGACCGTTGTTTTTGACTACTTTGGGAAACCCAATGATACAACCATGCATTTCCAGTGTACGGTTGGAGCAACGCGACTATATTACTTCGGGTCGGGTGGTACTAAAACGCAGCCGGTGGCCCCGTGGCGTGATCATGTTGGAGGCACTTCACTCGTGTCTGGTTCCCGTACTCGAATATTAAGCCTCGTCAAACTGAAAGTTTACCATCGCAGTTGTCCTCATGTCGCTGTTTGGCTTCGTCGGAAATGTAATCGAGTAGGATGTATAGTGTTCGGCTGCCTCATCCGTCACGCGCGTAAGCTGGTACAGTGACCAAAAGTCCCTTGGGTTCTCAACCAAACTTTGGGATAACTGGAAATCAGGTAACACCTTTGTTATGCATAAGAGTTGATTGAACTCCCGGGTGGAATGATTGGTTCCAGTCCCAGTTGCTATTAGGTCTTGATATATATATATGTAGAATTATATAATTCGTTTTGCGGTTATTGGTTCTTTTGCTCGTGTAGTACGAACCAGCTAGGTCGTATCACTTGCTAACTTGTATCCTGGTTTGCTGTCAGTGTTTCAAGTCCGTTGTCTGGATCGTCATCTTCGGGTGTGGGCGGTGGTAGCCCCATGGCATGAAGGTAAGCTTGATCTGCTCGGTCGCTCCGAGCTAACCATTTACACATCAATCAAGGTGTTAGCCACCTATGGCTATCGCAGGTTTCGGGACGGCGCCACCGCTGACCCGACGTTTCTCAAGTCGTCCCCTGGGAGTCAGGGTTGTGTGCTGCGGACTCGGTTCATTGTTGGCGGAATTGCGGGAGGGGTGTGGGCCAGGTGACGTTGCTCTTGTGAACCATTGCAGTTGTAGCCGATGGGGAATGTGACGGCACTTTGTTCTAAAGCTGGGGGGGGGGCGAGAGTGATGCCCGGATGTTCGATCCACGATATTCTAAGGAGGGTAGCCTGAGCCAGTTGACGGTGATGCAGTGTATTCTGTGAGGCTTGATTCGCACTGGTCGTAACAGTTAGCTCAACTCTTCATTTCCGTGTCATCCGAGCCAAGGGAGACTTGCGGCGGAGCCAGAAGCAGTCCAGGTTCTTGCTCCGCGACAGTTGTGTTACTTTGTCCGCGTAAGCGTTAGTAAGTGCGGTTCGGAAAAAGGAGAGCGCACTTCTGATGATTCCTCGGAGTGTCACTTCTGACGTTTTGTCAAGATCAAAGCGACAGCTCGCAGCCCTCCTCTCCAAGAAAGAAGATTTGAGTGGTGATGTTGAAAAAGTCGGTAGTGAACCGTGGATGGAAATGAAGTTGGGAGTTGAGAGAACAACGAAGTGTTTTGAGAGCGTAATATAAGAGGAGACGGACGAACTGGTAGCGATCTCAGGCCCGTCTTCAAATACAATCGCGGAACGTTGATTCTGCGGATCCGTCAAGCTTCGGCAATGGTTTTCGACGCCACTGCCTCCTGATCCCCTAGGTTCGGAATCAACCACCCGGTTTCGATAGTTGGTACTCAATATCGTCCGTCTCTGTGACACGTCTGCGCCTTGAGGTAAATTACTGGACGTAGGTTGGTGCTCGTTAGGTCACTGTGGTGTGAATCGTGTACTGGAGGGCGTTGATTCAGAGCGTGGGTGAGTAAGCCAACAGGTTCGATAACCTGTGAGCGTGAGTGATTGCCCAAAGGTTGCGTCTAAAGGTGGGGCACGTCGCTACACGCTACAATTATTGGGTGTCAGTGCAATCAGACAGAGTGGGTGCTTGTTTAATACGTCTGGATATAAGCTCTATGCTAAAAGAAACTACAACAATCTTCGAAAAAATCCTTTCCATGGTTTGCGAACCGAACACTATCAGGTTGCCCGGGGCAGGTGGTTTCTCCGGGAAGTACACATTGCGTTTGGAACATACCAACCCGCCGGTCAAGCTTTGATTCTGATGATGTACTTTCCTAGGAAACCACCTGCCCCATGCAACCTGACAGTATTCGGTTCACAAACCATGAAAAAGTTCTTTTTCCACAAAGATTGTTGTACTGTTTCTTTTGGCATAGGAGCCTAGATTCCGACGTATAAAACAAGCACCCAGTCTGTCCGACTGCACTGACAAATATCGACATCCAGTCATTATAGCGTGTAGCAACGTGCCTTATTCATACACGCAACCCTTGTACAGTCACGCTCACACGTTATCGCACCTGTTGGCTTGCCAGGCAAACCATGACAAAATTCGTACACTTCTTGTTTGGCTCAGAACCAGTTCTTTTAACCAGCTCCCCAAAAGGAAACCCGACCCGAATGTTGGCTTCTCACTGGTGCCTGGGGCTTCCTCAGCACCGGCTGTTTGGGGCCCGTGGGGGCGTTTCGCGAGTTGTTGATCAGCCACAAACCAAGACACCCGACCACATTGAGGAGTTTGGAATCATTAAACTACATAACTTGGCCGTATTATACAACTTAGTATAAAGGGGTCTCATGACTACAGGCGCACATATGGGGTCCGGCTTATTACGTTGGACTTTTACAGGAGTGCCAACTGTCGAGTTTGCGCCACGATTGGTTATTTAAGAATGTTCACCATTTTTCTCCTGCGCTGGGATCATATTAGCCCGTCTCATTTTTCTCGGCTGGTCTATCGTAAACTTCCCTCAAGGAGAATCCCTGTCCTGGTGCACTAAGCACCCGACCGACGCCGAGTATGACGAACCAGTTTGGTTGTTCAAGCCCAGCCAGCATTACAGTTCACGACCATTTTGTATTTGTATAATCTTTGCGAGCTGAGATATGCTTACTTTTATGTTGAAAAAATTGTACACTGCTGGTCACACCGGAGAAAATATAGAATTGTCGACAGATGCGATAGAATGCTGTGTAAAAAAATAAATATCTCCCAAGTTGGGTTCATTCAATTGAAGATTGACGTAATTCATTTATAGCTCGTTCCTTGTAGGTCAAGATGCAAGCCAGATACGGTACAGTGGAGTTTTTATAAATGTTTATTCGAGAGGGTGGATACCGATAAGAGGAACGAGTGGTCGAGTGGGAGCGACAAGAAGATAAGTCAAGATGCAAAGGATGGGAGGGATCGCTTGGAATCTTTCTGGCAAAGGTCACACATGACTTCATATGACCACCAATAAGTTCTGTGATTAATCACTCAGCAGAAATTAAAGATGCATGGCTTATTATCATCAATTTGAAGCCTTGTTTCAATAGACCGGGCAACACTACAGAGGAGCAGTTAAGTAAAATAGGGGGAACGAATTGTGTAACAAAAGAGAACAAAACTTGTTGGGGGGGGGTGCGAAATTATCCGAACTTTTGGAGCTGAAAGGAGAGACGTTGAAATTTTCCCATACAGTTCTGAATGCGCGTCGATCGCCGAAGGCTAGTATCAATATTAACACCCGGATATTTGACTGAGGTCACTCGAGACAAAAGGTTACGATTACGGGTTACAGACAGAGTCTGACGGGAATGTAGAGCGGGAAGAACTAAAACTACACTCCAAGCACTTGGATGTATTAAGATTAAGGCCAGACTAGCTTGAAAACTGTTCGATCTGGGACAGATTTTCAGTGAAGGAGGTAAATTCCGAAGAAGAAACGGTCTGACATAAAGCCACATTGTCAGCATACTTTGGGATATGAGCAGGGTGTGGAGCTGAAAAATCACCAATGAAAGTAGAGAAAAGATACGCAGAGAGGAGAGCACCTTGAAGCGCACCAGAATTATTGACAGGTGAACTTGAAGTATTCCTGCCCAGTTTTGTGCACTGGATTCTTTCGGTGAAATAATCAGATTGAAATCTTGAGAGCATTGTGAAAATGGAAATAGATAACTTATGTAGGTTGCAAAGACAATGAGAACACGCAAGATACCACTGTTTACTCAGTCGATCACAGTGATGCCGAGGTTTCCATTTAGGAATCCCAGCGCGACCTATGTGAGCAAGTTTCCTGACCAGATTTTCCGTATCCTTGACAACATTTGGCTTTTTTCACCAATTATTTATCTCGGTAAACATCGCGGACCGGGCGAACTACTGAGTGACTGGGTGGAAATTATGCCCCAATCAGCGTAATCTGTCAAAGTCAACTATTGACTCAATCGGGTGACCGCGATCATCCAAAACTCTGTGCCTGAAACTTGGCATCGTTCGTCCTTTTTTCTCACCAGTCTCATGTAATGCGATGTTCAAACAGTGACGGTCTGCCTTTCTCCTGGTCCTTTAATGACCAGGTCTCTGTACCGTACTACAACACTGGTCAAATTGCAACAACATGCATTCGACCCCTCGTGGGCAGTCGAATGTCGTGGCGACACCATGAATGTCCCAGGGTGGTAAATGCCAGTCGAGCCTTTAGACATCTGTGATTCCTCCGCCGGGTGATATTTAGCTGCACAGATAACAAAATGTATACATATGCTCTATTACTTCCCCAGTGTGAGACAGGCAGGAGGTTCTGCTCGGAGAGAGAGATTTGACTGACAATCTGAAAGAGAGAAAAATGCAAACGCCGTGAACCAAGTGGTCCAGTGAGACATGAACACGACTCATTCACACGGAATGACAGGTGGCCAAGGTTGTTACACCAACTACTGTGAGTACCAGCCCAGACATGTGGCAACATATTACACTTTGAAGGTGCAAAATGCATACACTACACTATCACTCATACTAACCAGAAAAGCTTGTAACTTACTTGGATTGTTACCGAGCAATGCAATGTCATCTGTGTGCTTCATACTAGAAAATTTATCGCCTGGGAACAAAGTGATACCACTATCCTCGCAAGAGGGCAGAGTTGTTTCCAGAATAAAATCTTTGGTGAAGTTAAATAGAATGAAAAAGAGAGACTGACCATTACTGCTTTTTGTGGTGAATTTGGGCGAAAAAATACCGTAAGCTAGAATTCAGCTCCGGTTATTAGTGTAAAGGAGTTGTCATTTTTGAAA